TTTATATATTTGATCCTGTTTTACAAATGTTTTATTAATATCAATATACAATTATTTTGATACATAAATGAATATTAATGTTATTTTAATTGAAATTTGATTGATTTTTATTTGCTAAAGGGGACTCAAAAAACCATTTTTTGGGAATTTCCGTTTCTGTAAAAATGACCCCATATCTTGAGGTCTGCATCCAATGTACCGTACCGTTTAACATTTATGCCGTGAGCACCGGGATTAATATAACAAAATTGCGTTTTTATTAATATATTGTCACGTATGCTAGTTGATAGTTATTTAAAGTTTTTTATATAAAGGCTTTGAATCAAGTAACTTTTTTGTGTTATAGGTTGATCATTTATTATAACTAAAATTAAGTATACTGTAAATAAACAATGAAAGTATTTATACTAACCACTTTATTTGCTATTGGTGAGTTTAACTAATAAATATTAATATTAGAAATTCTTAATAATTAAAATTAAATACAGCAAATCTAGCATAATTTTATATTATATTTAAATAATATTTAATGTTTCATAATAATACTGGGCTGATTTTTAATTTTAAAATTATCATTACCCTTAATAGGTATATGTAGTCCCACCTCGGACAAGTTTGACTTCCGGTGGAAAACGTGTGAATTTTGGAAACAAAGCACCAAGGACCAAATGAGACAGCTCACCTACGCTAACATAGACGTACTCATAGCCGCCATGAAACTCCAGGGTCTAAAATACCGAATATGGCACGACCTGGACATCATCGACAACCTCTACACCAGGTTCATAGAAAAAGCTCAAAAATTTATGCCCATAGCCTACGCCGTGATAGAAACCTACCAGACTGATAATCACACCGCTAACCACATTTACCAGTACTACCTGGGTATTACATTTGAGGAGTATAGGTACATGGGTGCAAAATTAGATATATTACGTAAAAATATGCTGGATGTTACGGATACCGAGGTTAATTTAGCTAAAAGGTGGGCGGCACTTCAGAAGATAATTTTGGACAAGGTACTTTGGGCGGCTGATTACATACGGGTTAATAGACAGGATCCACTTTGGGGGTCATTGCATATACAGGTATGTTTTTAATGTGCATAATAAATTAATAATTTTTATGTGCTAGATTAATTATTTTTTTGTAGATTCACGAATTGGTGAAAGATGAGTTTAGGATTATAAACGCCGACCTTGCTAAGATACCTAGTGGTGATAAAAAAGCTAAAGCATTAACTGTATTGCTGGAGGAGATTGGTATTATTAATATATAGATTTTATAATTAATAAATGTTTTAAAATAAATATATAATTTTATCATTTTAAAATATTTTAAGTATTAAATCTATACAATATAAAATAAGATCCATGTTGTTTTAAATGACTAGTTTAATATTATTTTGTGTTTTAATTTTTTTCAGTTAATAATTAAAACTAAGATAAATTTCACAATATATTTAATAATAATATTTATTTAAAAATAATTATTTTATTAATTGACATATTGTATACACACCAAAAATTAATTATTATATTTATAAAAATTACTTTAATATCAATATTTTCTTAAGTTAAACACAATATAAAAATAGTTCATTTGTGAGTTCGTTATGTACAATTGATTACATACCACATACAATATAACCAAGTTCATTACTACGATAACTATTTTTAATAACTAGATAATAATTTTATGAATATAAATAACAACACATTAATACAAAAAATATACTGTTAAATAATTTATATTTAATTGCAAAAACAAATATTAATATTTAAATACGTATATTTGTGTAATTATAAAATATTAATTCCTGTATTAAATGAACTTTTTGCTTTGAAATAAACTTATCATTGTCATACATTGTGCTACTTATCATTTATGACAGCACCAGGATTAATATATCAATTTATGTTTTATTGTTAATCCGATGTCAATATTAAGTATTGATAAATAATTTTTTGTACTAAATATATATAAATAAACGTTCAATACACAAAACAACTTTTTATTTGCAGCTAATATAAAATACAATAAAACAAAATTTTATTATTAATTTAAAAATATTTCAAAATGAAATTATTAATATTTGCTAGCTTATTAACAATTTGTGAGTTGACAATTAATTATTTTTTAAAATTTGTTATATATTATATAACATCCCTATTAGCTATATGTAGCCCAACTACCGACAAGTTTGACTTCCGGTGGAAAACGTGTGAATTCTGGAAAAAATGCACCAAGGACCAAATGAGACAGCTCAGTTTCGCCAACATCGACGTACTCATAGCGGCCATGAAACTACAAGGCCTAAAATACAAGTTATGGCACGACCTGGATATCATCGACGATTTCTATCAGCGTTTCATTGAAAAAGCTCAAAAGTATTTGCCCATTGCCTACGCCGTGATGGACACCTACCAGCCCGATAATCACACGTTCAACCACATTAACCAGTACTACCTGGGCGTGTCGTTCGAGGAGTACAGGTATGTAGGTGCTAAGTTGGACATTTCGCGCAAGAATCAGCTAATAGTTAAGGATACCGAGGAGAATTTGGCAAAAAGGTGGGCCGGTATGCAGGAGACTATACTGAAAACTGTACTCTGGGCCTCCGATTATATCAGGTTTAAGAGGGAGGACACTTTTTGGGGATCCCTACACATACAGGTAATGTAACATATAATAATATGCACAAAATGGTGCATTTATTTTTGGATTTATTTTTTAGCAACCCCTAAATATATAGGCAATCTTTTCTATTAAAATTGTCAAATTATAAATATTTTTAGGGGTTGCTCAAAAAATAAATCCGAAAATAAATGTACAAGTTTGTATTCTAGGTTGCGCATAATTTTTTGTAGTTTTAAACAAATATAACTTATCACGTATAAGTTATTTGCGTAATATACTTTAGATAACTAGTTAATAATATTGTTAACGCATTAATAGTGTGCTTGCTAGCCGTGAGACGGCGTAGAGGTGTGAAAATGTTTATTTAATTTATTTTTCATTTCAAATAGATACATGATTTAGTGCAGGATATGTTTAGCAAGGTTAATGCTGACCTGGATAAGATGCCCAGTGGTGAGAAAAAGGCGAAAGCATTGACTGTATTGCTGGAGGAGGTTGGCATATTATTGATATAGTATCAACTATTATTGTATTAAATACACTAACTCATATTGATTAAGATATTTGACTAATACAGTACTAAAAATTTATTTTATCAAATAAAACTACTTTACACATATTATGTGTTTAAAACACAATATTATAAAGCATATAATTTATTTTATACTGTATTATGCTAACATGTAGATTTTAGTGTAGACAGAATATTTTTTGTAGTAACATTGTGTTAATAATAAAAAATAACGTAGAATATAATCTATTTAAAAAATGATACAAATTAAGTCTGAATGCCCCACGACATCTGACAACCACCAGATCTTCTATCGGTGTCATCACGATAATAGGCTGTCCACTGATTAACCAGGGCACACAGATTACGTGCCGGTGCCGCGCACTGACCTCCATCACCATCCGGGTACCAATTGAAGCATAATTTAGCATTTAAAAGCCAGCCTGGTGCATTTGCTGGGGCCACCAGTCGCCACGACATTTGACACCCGCCGCCACGTCGGTCCGTATCGTCCCTATACTCAGCCGTATACTGACCTACCGGTGCGCACGTCTCGGGCGGGGCCCCACCGCCGCATTGGCCACCATCACCATCCGGGTGCCATCGAAAACAAATCTGAACTTGGTTGAACCAATTTGGAGTAAGACCTTGTTGAACTATGCCCCATTTCATACGACACCCGCCCCCACGTTGATCGGTATCGTCGCGATACCACGGTGTCATTGAATTGACCATGGTGCAAAGTAGTCGATCGCTGGCGCTACATTGCCCACCATCACCGTCCGGGTACCACGAGTAACACAGTTTAGCTTGGTAAAACCATTCGGGTGTTTCGATATACTCTTTCACTTGCGAACCTAATTTAAATTGAAAATATTTAGTAATTAGCAAAATGATCAACGACCATTTCTATTAATTAATAGAATTTAATGTTTTATCGAGTTTTGTAGTATAGTTATACTACAAACATCATAAAAACAAATCACAAATAAAATAACAAATTTGTCAAACATAAGCTAGTTCAACATGTACAGATATTTCGGTTAATGTTAAATTGAGCTGGATAAATATGCCTTACCTAATTCACCCACCAATTTATGATCAGGTATTACTTGAGCAAGTAACTCTTGAGTTCGTGTGACATAAGCCAATACTACATCAGCACCAATTTTTGCTTTAGAAATAAAGCTATACGCCGATTTTAGTATATCATTTAAGTATGCTTTATCTAGGTATATTTCAATCGCTTTTGTAATAGCCACATTTTTGGGACCATCTGGAATTAACTTGGTTATCGGTTCGAGTTGTCCCTTAAATAGCCATGGATTACCCGACACAGAGTCCCACCAATCTTTCCAGCTAGCAGGTTTCAACAGGTTGGCTATACCGCCATAGTAATACTCAGTGAGTTCGGATTGCGATTTAAATGACTCGGTAATTTTCACAGTTTCACCACCATACGCCCCGTTAGCTTTGAGAATGTTGAAAAAAGTACCTTTCGCATCTGCTTTTATTTGCGAATCGCTCATTGTGTAGCGTAGTTGATTTTGCAAGTTAAAGCTGAGTCTAAACATTATTAAATGAACGTTATTTGTTTAAATTGTTTATGTACATGCACTATTATATGAATATGTAATCTTTGGAAACCATATTTACTTAATCAATGGTATAGTTATTAAGCACAAATATAATCTTGTTAAATTTTCACATACTGTATATAGTTTAAATGATAAATACCTGAAAACACCACCATAGTGACCTCTCGATATAAAGTGTGTACCAAAAGTTTCAATGAATTCTATAAACTTTGCCGGATTAGCTTCATATTTGTCCGGCAGAAATTTATCAATAAATGTGCTTGGTGATTTACCTAACGCTAATTCCCAATAGGGAACTAAGTCTGCCTGCAAGGCCGAAAAGTGGGCGAATATCTCGGTCACAAATTTCGACGAATTGGCGATTGTATGTTGGGCTTTCATATAATTTGTGCTCGCTGAAAACATACCGTTTAACAGCCCGACCCCAGCATCAATGGCCATTGATTTCTTAACCTCCTCGTAATCCCTATATTCGC